GTTTGCACATGCGCACACAGACGGTTTTTACACGGTGTTGCGGCGACGTATTGCATCGCTGATGCTCCGCACGCGTGGGAGCACCAATAGCATCCTGAAAGTTCTAAGCAATAAGCCAGACTGCCCCCTTGTGCGACACTGGGTGCAAACTCAAGTGCAGGTGCCGGGTGTCCCACAGGGAGGCAGGTATTTGAATTAAATTTAGGTATTTGTTTTAAATTTAGATTGTAATTTTATTTATTATTTTAATGTTTAATTTAATTTTCAATTTAATTTTTAATTTAATTTATTTGTCTCCNTTTTATATAGTATGTCGCAGTCATTGATAGGATGGTTAATTAGCTTTTATTTTCTTTGACATCTGGAGTCGTAAAATCTTCAATCTTAAAATTTACTTACTTCCCGTTTTCCCATTGAGCTGAAATTTTGCATGTCTACCTACACAGGTATGCAAAATTTCGTTTCGTTTCGCACTAAATAATTTAATTTACACGTGTTTTCATGCGATGGCCAAGTCAACATATTTATGTAAAACGTTAAAGATTTCCTGGACTGGACTTGGTATTACATGGATCTCACAACTTTTTACCGTAGAACAACTGAGTAGCGAGACTTGGTTTTTTGACAAGTATTGTTTTTGATGGGTTTGTATTACAGAACGTATGTGTACCTAATGGGATAACTGTTTAAAAACACGATTAGATAAATTTTGCTCTATGGATAAAAATCTTAAAGTTGCCTCTGATTTTTTTTATAAAAGCATTATACGACCGTGTTTTAAATTAATAATAAATTCTATAAAATCACAATGATATCAGTATTTACCTCTTTGATTTCCTGACTCGTTTAGACTTACAAAAACTAAATATTTTTTATTAACTTTTTGATAATAATGTGAATGGCGCTTACGATGTTTAGTTACGAGCTCTTTGATGGACACATATATTATAGATAACGTTTAAAAAATGGCATGCTCGTTTTCGTCGTTTTCATTCTATTTATTTAACCTATCCATATTTATGTGCGGAAACATCACAAAATCGGAATAAATTTTAATTTTTCCATCCCGCATCATAAAAACTAAAAAGTCAAAAGTAAAATTTTTCATAAACAAGCTTTTGATGCTCTAAAAGGAATAAAATAAAACATAAATTCTTTCAAACCCATCAACTTATTACTTTACTCAACTTAAAGATTAAAAACTTGTCGCGGGATTTACTTGTGTAAAAAATACATTAATTACGTAACTTGATTTTGCTAAAAGTCTGATCTGAGAAAAAAAAAAGTAGGTAAATTATACATTATTTCTATATTATTATGTATGATGTACTGTCTTAGGTACGATACAACTACGGATTAAGATCGTTTAGTCGACGCAGCGTTGAAATTGTAAAGATAAATGCAGTTTGCGCACTCACTACGCGACGTCGAGCAATAAAAACCTAAAATTCGAACGCCAACTTTTTGCTACAACGCTCTTAATAAATATTCCTCAAACGGTACTTTCAAACTCCCCTCTTCCCACCGGCTCAAAGGCTAAGGGCGGGGACTTTTGTCGTCATGTTCACCTTCTTACTAGTCTAAATAAAGTCTCGAAGTCAGAAATTGTGTTCCACGCATTTCTCTCTATACCGTCGTTAAAGTATTCATTGACTGGACTTACAGGAGCCACTCGTGTTATGTTTTTATTGGTGGTCAGCTTTAGGTCATGGCGTTGGCTGTGGCAGTATGAACTGGGGGTGGGATATCCCCGTAAATCATTTATAAATATTAAATATTCGAGTATCGAATGCGAGACAAAGGTCGTCCCCATGAGCTAATGCACCACGGGCCCATTAGGTCGTCGTAAATTTTCATTCATTCATATATTTTACTTAAATAGGTGCAATTTACCCGAGATAAACATAGGTACTATCGGCCACACTTCGCTCACATCAAATGGTGATTCTTTGCAATAGAACGAGATGACATGACCGGAAATGGGTAGCTGGATGACCGATAGTACTAGTACTCTACTCATTAATGTTACTCGTACTGTCCAGTATACTGAGTTATTTATTATTTATTTATTACAGATTATGGCTCATGAAATTATACCTGAGGTGACGCAATCTTCATCTTAGATAGTAACAGTTGTGCTTAATAGGTAGGCAAAATAAATGTAGTAGTAGGTTGTCTAATACCTAATACATAGTAAGTGCCTAAAGTAAAAGACAATTATTTAGAATACGTGTATGTAATTTAATTGAAAGAGTTGTTACAATTCAGATGGAACTAAGTAATATTTTCATTATCTACTTATTTANTTTTTTAATTTAATTTAATTTAATTTTTAATTTAATTTATTTGTCTCTATTATTATTATTTTTATTGATTTTTATTGATTTAATTTGATTTTAATTTGATTTTAATTATTTAATGCAATTATTATTATTATTGAAATTTTATGGGCCCTGGCCTGAAATAAATGAATTTTAATTTTTTTTTTTTTAATTTTTTAATATCGTTCAACGCTGTATCGTTTGACGGGAGCGAATGGTAACATGGCCAGATCATGAAATGCCGGCGTATCACGATGTGCACGGGCATATCACGCACGAAGTAACCAATCAATTTAACATCAAGTGCGATTGCGGTCAAATGCCTGCCTTGTTCTGCATTCAAAAAATCCAATGATCGGCTCGGTTGTTTTTAATGAAGTCCTACAAGAGACGTAGAATTTTAAAAATAATTGTCGACATTATTTGAATACGATTCAAGAAAATAGAAGGTAGTCAAACAGAAATACCTATTTACACTACTTACTTTAAGTACGTGGCTTCCTTCACTAGGCTATCTGACATGCTAAGCGAGCGATCCGCGTAGCTCAATGGTGCCGCAGTGTAAACGTATTGCAGTATTGCGAGCCACAGTATAGTTGATGTCGCACGGAAAATATTCGCTAAAAATTCCACTTTCGTTTGTAATTTTTTTTTGGTGGATAATGCGTTTAGTCATAATAGATCACCTAAATAAATATGGCGAGGATTGAAATTAACACCCTGTTTATTATTATAAATAAAGATAAATACTAGATGAATAGAATATATTTATTTGTAATAAATGTGGTACATACATAGGTGTTTTAAGTTTAATTGAGCATTTCACATTTAGCTAAATTTTAGCATACNAATTTAATTTAATAAAAGTGTTGAACTAAAGCGCTTTGAAAGAACATAATCCCAAAACATCTCACTCCGAACATGACTTGCACATGCTTTCCAGCGAAACCATTTAGTTATTCAAAATGTTTATAAAAGCATCACATATTCCGACACCCACATTAGCGATGAAGACGTCTTGCTAGTGATGTGCCTGTGTGATCAGATTTATCCGAAATTTTAAATAAAAATCCAAAAAATATCAGAAACCGTAGTGAAATTTAGAATAGGTACATTAAATTACGGATCTGTGGTTTAACTATGTACTATACAAACAGTTCTACGGATATTATTTTGGGCCGTTTTTTTTTTCGGATTTGGTTTGGACGTAGTGCAAAATCGCTCTAAGTCGATTCAAGTAAAATAATTATATTTTTGAGTAACTATGTAAGGTATATATTTTATATCATTTACAGGGTACTTATACATGCCCCAAATATTTTATAGCTCGCCCTAATGGGTCAACATTATTGATTGGTGCTGAGAAGTGGCGGAAGAAAGTTGGATAATGGAGCTACTAACAATTATTTGTGACCTTTAAAACAATACAATTTCGTTATTATGACTTCAAACAGTTCTTTTATGTACTTTGGTTGCATGACATTTACGATCCATTTCAAGTTAGAGCTTTTATGTTAACGTACACACATTCGACTCTAAAACATTACAACCTCATACCAGTTAAGTACATCTGAATTATTAAGCAGATTATAGTCGTCTAGACCGCACTATACTACGTTGCATCGAAGATCGAGTAAAATTACTCAAACAGATTATTTACATAATGTAAATCAATCTTAGACGCGATAGAGATTCGTTACTTTATAATTCAGCAGTAAGTACGAATTTGGACCTAGTATTAAGTAGGTATAGACATGAGATTTCTCATGTCAAAATCAAATCATTGTGTCAAAGTTTTTTACCTAGGTGCCTGATTACTAGTACCTTTAAAAGGCACCAATTAAACTGCCACCTACTTACGCAAAAATTTTTGGACTCTCTTTTTTCCTAGTGACTCGAGTAACGGAGACTTACAGAAAATTTAATATCCGTTGTTTGGTATCCCTAGCATACGCTCTGCTTAGATTGTGGCTTAACCAAGGTATATTCTTTTAAAGGTATTTTTACTAAAGTATCCGAAATCACGATACATGCCTACGCCTACCCTACCCCCACTGTATACAAGGGCACTTTAAATGGTGGTGATCAATCATATAGCACAGACTTCGTTTGAAGCGACCATTTTGGAGACTTTAGGGGTTCCGAAAGGACTCACGACTAAGGGTTTCTTTTGAAAAATTTAGTACCGTTTGCGTAGGACAGGATAGCCATTTTTGGAATAAACTAAGATGTATTATAGGGATTTTATTTATAGTTTAGATAAGAAAACTAATATAGTTTTCCGCGCCCGCGTTTTTTTTTTTTTTACTTTTTATTGGCAGTCTGTGTGCGTTCCTTAAAATATCTAAATTTTGTGTAGCAAAAAAGAGTCTTCAACTCAATTTACTAAATAATTTGTCAAAAAGCCATGAAAAAAATTACTTTACACTTAATTAAAAAATAATTAGGTTTTCAGGGCGAGAATTGAGTTTCTTAAACAGGTTGTGGAATGGATTATTAATTTTGTTAAATACTGTTTGATGTTCGTTAATGTCTTAGGCTGGGTTGCGCCATCTTAGGTACTTTACCTTTAACAAACGTCAAAAATCTGTCAAACTCCATACAAAAAACGCCGGTTATCGTTATACATAGTTACGGTCAAAGTTAGGTGGTGCCACTCAGCCTTATTATTGCTTAATGATGTCAAGTAAGTACCAAATTATGAGACATGCTTTAATTATTTCAAGCTACAAGAACGTGTGTACAAAAATTGAAGTACGAGTAGGTATTGTTATAGGTAGATCGTTTCATCTACGAAGACGCGCCCCACCAATTTTTGGTCTCGGTCGCGCGGGGTGCGGGGTGTTTGATCCGAGCAATCCGAGCGTCATTATTGTAGTGTGCGTGTGCACTCATGGATGATTTAGCGTGTACCGATAACACTCAAACATTAGCGGAAGAATGGTGGGGCGCGTCTTCGTTGATGAAACCATCTTTAATACCTACACCTATCGCTTTACACAATGGCTACCTATTCCGCAATATATTTGGGTCGTTCAAAGGTGCTTGTCACTGCAAACCATCAGATCGTCAGTTGGTAAACGTCTGATGCTTCTTTTAATTTTTATTAACCAATTTAAACAAGGAAAAGACTCTCCATCCGACTAAATATTTTGGTGTTATAGATAGGTACCTACTCGTAGGTCCTTTTATAGTTTTGTAGTGTACTTGCGGCCGCCCGCGACTTTTACCTCCTTAGGGGTTGAATTTTGCAAAATCCCGTCTAAGTGAGCACCTACGACCTACGTTCTAAAAGGAACCTCCATGCAAAATTTGAGAATCCTATCACTTGTAGTTTCTGTGGTTTCGTGATGAGTGAGAGGGTCGGTGACCTTTCGCTTTTATATGTATAGAAGATTTATAAATTATTTAAACTGAACCGCCTTTCAGTTTAAATGAATTCTGTTATTAGGATTTCGGCCTTGAACGCTCGGTATAGCAAACTCATTACTATGCAAAAGCATTCATCATTGCGTACTTTCCGGCCGCCCATCAAATATGGAAAATTCTGGAATTTGGAAAATACTGGAATTCAAAAGCTTTGACCGAGCTCCCTGGGGATATAATATTCCAAATATTATTCTACGGTATTACGTTTCACGTTTGACGTTTAGGAAAAATGGTACGAATATGGTATAGCTTACTCGTATATTTCAGCTGTTTGGAATTAGAAAATAGGTCAATTCGTCGGTAGATAGGTGACCATTTAATTTCTTTTAAAAAGGCATTTTTGTATCATACATAGGGGAGACCGAGGAGAGATGTAACAAAGGAGAGTTGTGACATTGTCGCGCGTATTACGCTAGAAGTTAATTAGTTACAAAAAATCGACAATGTCACAACTCTGCTCTCTTGTTACAACTCACCTCGGTCTCCCCTATTTGTGATTTTATTTCCAGTCGGCCAAACAATAATTGTTTTTGCTTCATACCAGCCTATCTTAAAATCATTGGGGGAAGCCTATGTTCATAGCTGGACGTCCTGTGGCTAAAATGATGATGATGAAGATTCAATATCTTCACTAAGGCATATTTTATGTCGCACTGGATGTGGTCTGCGGTCAGGTCAAATGAACGCAGCCCTCACCTGTCAGTTGGCGTTCTTTGCTCGTGCCCGCACTGTTAGATCGCAATTAATACAAAATGTTTAGAGACCGACTGCGTGCTATTTATTTTCCTAAGTAGAATTGTTATTTAACAAGTAGGTAATATAATTTTTATTGCATGTAATTTGGTGCAAAAATAATCATTTTATTTCTTTCTTTGTAAGTAATATCTGTTTTTTTCTTTCCAGGTAAAATTATGAAGAAAACGTGAACACTTCATCAATGGTATTCTTCTTGGAATTCCTTTTAAGGTAATTGATATTAAATTATTGCAACAATAATGCCAGGGGTCATTTCAAAATTAGAGATTGATGGTGAAAATGGGCATTATTCTTTTAACTGTTGTTCAAGCTTCTTTTATTTTAAGTGACAGCAATTTATTTCCCATCATAAGATGAGTATGGGACGTCCACCCACAATGTGGACCGACGACATCATAAAGGTAGCAGGAAAGCGCTGGACGCAGACCGCTACCAACCGGGTAACATGGAAAGCATTGGGGGAGGCCTATGTTCAGCATTGTCCTATGGTTGAGATGATTATGATGGTGATGATGATGATGGTGATGATGATAAGATGAGTATTTCTCATGATAGCCAATTAAAAGCAAACCCAGTTCGTCGTCGTGGATTATGTCTTTCCTGGAATTTTGCCAACATATCCCTTAAATATTTGTATACAATTAATTAAAATTATAATTTGGAGGACATGCCTGTGATTTAATCCCACTACATTAGTTATCGCGGCGGAATTTTGTACCGCCTATGTTCATCAGAAATAATATAGGATTCTGGTGAAATATTTTTTCTTTTACCAGTAGTTTCTTAGCCTATTTTAATAGAAACAAACAAACAATCGAATCTTTCCTCTTTTAGTGCGGATGAGATACGATATTTTTTACTCGAATTAAACGTAACTAAACCGGAACGGAAACCACAACTTGCAAACCCTTTTAAAACATTCACTGAACCTTTCTACCAGAAAATAGTTAAGTGCTTTTTAAATGCGATTCAATAGTACTTAATTCGTAGCAGCTGTTAACTTTTTTTTTGTGTGGGGCTAATTGTGAATTATTTGGGAAATAATATAGATTTGAGTACTTAGGGTTGAAAGACATGCAACTTTTAGAAAATATGTAATACTTGTGTCATTATACATTAATATGTAGAGTCATGAGAATATAAATGTATACTCTTATTAAGTACGAGCTTTTGCCCGTGGCTTCGCCTCAAATTTTGTTTGTCACAGAATAACAACATTGTGCGTGTCCTTGTTTCAAAAACCGGTATAAAAACTATCCTATCTCCTTTCCAGGGACTCAAACAATCTCTATACTAGACAGAGTTTAGGGATAACAATTAGTTTTCAATTAATAATGAAAAAACGTCTGAACAGAGTATTACGTATAGTGAATGTTAGAATTTTCTTCATAAAACTATTCCATTCATCTTTATCAGCATAAAGCGTAAAGTACACTGTGACGTTGACTATCTACTGTCACGATTTCGTCACCTAGTTTACGTACTCGCATTACGTGATTAAATAAATATTTTACGAGTGTGAACTGTTCTCCGTAAGCCGTGTGGTGACGGCAGAGTAGAATACATTTGTCACCAACCCCTACTCTTCCCGCGGGTGTCGTAAGAGGCGACTTAGGGACTACACATCAAACAGAGAATGGGCAGCAGCGCTCTCTGAGAAACATCAATCTTTTAAACTGCGATCTCCAACCCGCCTGCCTAGCGTGGAGATTATGGCAAAACCCTCCACTATAGTGGAGGAGGCTCATAGTCCAGCAGTGGACTGTAAAGGGCTGTTGATGATGATGATGATGAACTGTTCTCCATAGATTCCATTACCTCTAGAGTGTAGGTGGATCGACGATCTGGTGAAGGTCGTGGGTAGTACCTGAATGCGGGAAGCGCAGGACCAGTCGTTGTGGAAATTAAATCCTTGAGGAGCCTTTGATCAGTGGACGTTTTTGGCTGAAACGCAACGGAAATAGGTTCCGTACTCTTCTTTATGAAAATCTTTAATCTACGGGACTATTCCCACCTCTCGTTCCCACCACTGCAACTCCTGTGTAGCCAGGATCTACAGCTTGACCGCCACAAAAACCCAACCAATGAAGGTCAAGTTTGTCCCGGGGGAAAGTTAAACTGTCATTGGACCCGCAACGAAATTAATCAGAAGAACATAGGAGGAGTTCGAAATTAAGGTTCGACTTCCCNATATAACACTAGAGAGCGTTAAAAGTGACTTAGATGAAATAATTGCTTGTTTGTGGTAACGATGGGCAACTACGGAACCCTATACTGTGCGTGCCATGACACGCAATTGTTAAATTACATGAATTGTATTGCATAAATTACGAAGTCCAGTGGGTTCACTACAATAGTCCAGCGGTCGTCGGGACTCCAACTACCGACTCACGAATCGGCAGTGTAACACTGATATTGTTGAGCTATTTTCATCTCGTTTTCTAGCTAAGTGGTCTCCACTCCAGCATGTTTCATTGCATTCCATAATGTCATAATGAACGAATATTTCAGAACCACCTAAGGACAAATGCGTGGTAACATTGGAATGGGAAGCGGCGCCGCGCGGAGGAGAGAAGGCAAGAGCGGAACCCGAAGAAGTACTAAAAGATGTACGTTGTAATGTTAATTTTTAACTTGCATATCTCGGTTATGATGAGATGGTTTCAATATAACATGTCTTTAACTTTATCTTCATTTTGAGGTTTCAATATCATTTTCAAGCGTTTGCTTTTCGGGTGTATATAAAATATTAAATTTGGAATTTAAGCTGCAAATAGTTTTCTCAAACTTGGTTCGAAAATGGATGCGTGATAGTCCAAGGCAATCTTCAATCAATCTAAACATCTTATTTCTTTAATTTAAAACAAAATAAATACTAAAACAAAAAAATATTGAAAGTGTTTATACCAAAATCACCTAAATACCTACATTACCTACATAACTCCAACTTTTGTCAACCCTTACTCATGTGATATGCAATAAATAATTAAAATTCTTACTTCTAGATCGACGAGGCATGGCTGGACGGCCCGTGCCGAAGGTGTCGCTGCGAGCGCTCCTCGCTCGGGGCTTCGGCGCAGTGCTCCGTGACGGAGTGCCCGGCGTCCCTAGCAGCGAGCCAGTTCGTGCTGGAGCCCCGCCCAGTGCCTTTCGCTTGCTGCCCGGCGCTCGTGCACGTCGCGTGTAGGGACGGGGAGAATGTNAACAGCGGCTGCTGTCCCAAGGTCAACATGGTCTGCCGCAAGGAGGCCTGTCCCAAGAAGCCGGACTGTCCCAAGTTCCAGAACCTAGTCGAGTACAATGTAACCGGGAAGTGTTGCCAGAAATATGAGTGCGGTAAGTTTAACTTCATAGA